CTTGAGAGATTTCAGCCTCTCCTCGTATGACAGTCCCTCCATCCCAGGCACCATTCTAGTAACCCTTCTCTGAACCCTTTCCAACAATTCAATGTCTTTCCTTAGGTAAGGAGCCCAAGACTGGACACAATATTAAAAAATGTGGCCTAACCAGTGACCTGCACTATGAAATTGTAACCTCTTTAGACTTGTATTTAATATTTCTATAGATACAACCTAAAATCCTATTTGCCCTACAACTAACAACAGCACACTGCTTGGATGGCTTTAGAGAATGATCAACTATTACACCAAGATCCCTTTCCTTCATAACACTATTAAGGTTATTTCATCCTAATTATACTTATAATTCAAATTATTGTTAGGTGTCTGGTCGTTTGTTAATTACTCGTAAAAATTCTTTCCGAAGAACTTCAGCGATACAAGTCCTTTCTCAAAAAAACTAGTTTATTCTTTCTCAATTCAACTTTGCAATACACTTAATTTCCACAGTCACTTTACTTAAACACACGCTATAATTCTCAATGAATGATTCATGCACTTTACTTACTACCGTGCTTGACTCAATTGTCCATCTATATCTTCAATCTTTCTGTCTGTTATTATCTATCATGCCGTTACTTCATTTGCCGGCTTATATATATAAAATATAGAGGGCGCGTAGAGAATACTAGAGTTGCCATGAACAGACGTGATCTTTCTAGAATCTCATGATGTGTTACTAGCGTCGTGAGACTTCCACTGTCGTAACATTATGATAATCCACATGCATTATCTCTCATTTATTATAATTAAAATCCATCAGACATTTATTTGCCCAACTCACTAAATGATCTATACTTTTGTAAATCAGCAACATCCTCTTCACAGCTAGCAACACCCAAGACCTTAATATCATCTGCAAATTTAAGTAATTTATTGACTATTCCTTCATCTATGTCATTGATGTAAATCAAAAAGAGCAATGGTCCTAAGACTGAGCCCTGATGTAACACACTTGCACTAGAGCTAATTTTCTACAAGCCTTTTATGTGGCACCTTGTCGAATGCTTTCTGAAAAATCCAGATACACCAAATCTACACCCTTATCCTCATCTACATAAGCAGTAATATTTTCAAAGAATGTCAAAAGATTTGTAAGACAAGATTTTCTCTTAGTGAAACCATGTTGACTATCCAATAAAATTCAAAACTTTGTTAAATGACTTTGCAAAGTATCTTTTAACAGACTTTCCAAAACTTTTCCCACAACTGATGTAAGACTAATGGGTCTATAATTACTGGGACAATTTTTATCACTTCCCTTGAAAAGAGGAGTTACATCAGCTAACTTCAAATCCTCTGGTACCTGCCCACTATTGAAGGAATGACAAAAAACAGTAGCAAGTGGTTCACATATCCAATCTTTAACCTCCTTCAAAACCCTTGGGGAAACATTATATGACCAAGAAGCCTTATCATTTTTTAAACTTCCCAATTCTTTCCTAACCAGCTTAGAATTAATGCAGTCATCTTGTTTGATTTCGTTTCCATTTATTGCCTGTTCAAGATGTGGAATACTGCTTAAATCTTCGTTAGTAAAAACTGAAGAAAAAGCTTAATTTAATAACCCAGCCATCTCATAATCATCCCTCAAGGGTTCTACCTCCATCCTAGCATTTTATTTACCATTAATGTATTTAAAGAAATCCTTACTGTTAATTTTTACATTTTCAGCCAATCTTTTCTCATACATCCTTTTTGATGTCCTAATTTCCTGTTTCACCAACTTTCTTGATCTTCTAAATCTCCTGTCATACCAGTCAATTTAAATACCTTAAGTTTATGATGCTTTTCTTTAATTATATTTCCTAAACTCTTTGTGAGCCAGCATGGTTTTTTTACTTGCAGCTACCTTTTTCTTTTTATAAGGAATATGTTTACCTTGAATATTTAATAATATAATCTTCAAAATTTTCCACATCTGATCAGTGTCTTCAAATAACTCAACTACCCAATTCACAACAGAAAATTTTTGTTGCATCCCTTCAAAATTTGGTTTTTTGAAATTTGTAACCAATTTGAGTCACATAAATATTGATAATACTAACCAAGTGAAGGTGATTATAGAAACCAAGTAATTTTTAAGGAATTTATTATTATGAGTTAATGCAAATAAAATAATAAAGCTTCAGTTACAGATTATCATAAGCACACGAAAACACTTTCAGTATTAATAATATTAGTCATTAATTATAATACTAATAGTATATTATTATTACTACTACTACTAATGATATTAATAGTATTGCTATTAGTATTAGATAATTTAGCAACTCTTTTAAGTTGTACTTATAGTTGTAGTAATACTAATATTAATAGTATTGTCATCAGTAAAAACAGTTAAACTTTGAGTTTGACTCGATGTTAGTTCCTAATTTTGTCAAAACATCTAAGACACCTAGATCTGTATCTTGTTATTTATAAGATGGTAAAATAAAAATGGTGTTTGCACATATGACATACAGTCTGTTAGATCTACCTGTAGTATATTACCGGAACACTAATTTAAGCCAGTCTTTATAATCTTAGTACTACTCTATCGTAGTTATACTAGTCTGGAATTTCATATAGGTACAAAATAAAAGGCGCCACCTCCAAAATAATGAGTTTATTGGTTAGCTAAAATTAAAAAAAAAGTTATTATTTTAATAAAAATATGCTATAAAATCAAGAAGTATTACCTACTTAATAATTATATGTAAATGAACTATTTTACGTCAAATAGTTTTGAAAAATTTGTATCTGTAAGATCATAGTTTCCACACTACGTCTTATTAACATGAAATATATAGAGCAAAAATCAATTTTGTCTTTTAAATATATTGTTACGACAGCGGAAGTCACGTGACCCTGATGAGTTTCCCGAACGATCGGGAAAGTCCGAGTGTGTTCGAGTGCTCTCTTCGTTAGTATATAAGCCTAGCAGTGAAAGCCAGCAGGGATATATATATATATATATATATATATATAGTACGGATATATATGTAGTTAATTTAACTTTTTACCGTTACCTACTACGGTCTACTATTAACTCCGTCTCGACTACTTAATTAGTACTAACCTTAAC